ACTCAGCGGCCCGCAGCTGATTTTGCCGCCCACCTGGGCAGCCGGGTGGGCGCCCCGCAAGGAGGCCAAGTCCTTCCAGGCTGGGATGGTGCCTTGGTCGTAGTTGGGGAAGTCGTCGCTGCGCATCTCCGATGCCGCGGCAAGCACGGCCCAACCAAGGAAACCCACGGAGCGAAGCATCTTTGCTTTCCCCTGCTCTCAAGCTCAATCTCACAGCTACTGTTCCTTGCTTTGAGCACTGCAGCACAGAATCTCCGTCTAGCAATGTCATTATAAGTCACCTGTCCACCAGGCAGCGACGAAGGGGCCATGTCTTTTCTTTGCTTGGCGTGGCCCATTGACTACGCGCCCAAGGCTAAGGTTGCGAGGAGGCGATCACCCGGCCTGTACACTTCGCAGCGGGTGGGGCGGATGCCTGACGCTGTTGCCTGGGCTGCAGGGGCCAGCGGGCCCCTTGGTGAGGAAAGCTCTGAGAACGTACTCTGAATTGGAGAATGCAGACATTGCTACACTGAGTGCTGCTGTACCAAGGCATGTTACACAATGCTCCTCCTACTACCACACCGAAAGCCCTGCGCTGAGGTGCGCTGTGCATCGTGTGCCCAGCTGTGCAGCAGCTTGCGGCTGTACATGTGAGAGTGCACTCATGGCAGGAGTGTCGTGAACTCGAAGCTGGTGCAAACGCCGGCATCCTTCTCAAGGTCGTCCTTGTGCGGATGGTCTTCCGAACGGTGCACCAGCTTGAACCAAGCATCGGCGAAGTCCGCGTCGAACTGGGCATGGTCGGCGGCGTACTCCTCGACGATCGGGCGGTAGATTTTGTCCGCAACCAGGGAGACGTCCGCAGTCAGCCGCATGGTCCGAGCAAATTTGCTGGTCTCGTTCCTGGTGTGCCACTGGTCAGCGCCGTACCTAGGCACAGGCTTGCTTTGGTCTTTGATGCCATGCAAAGTCTCTCGAGAGTGTTCCCATGCTCTCAGAACGTGCCACGACCTGATGACCTAAGTGCGGCAAGTGCGGGCAGGTTGCGGGCTCTTTGCAGGCACCCACTCTTCCGACAGCAGAGCATCGAAGAAGTCATAGTTCCAGCGGGACGGGCTACCTCAGCGGCACTTGCAGCAAACGACTGATCTGTGGTCCTTCTGTCAACTGTAACAAAAGACGAGTGATCTGTGAAGCGCTGACACCCCCACAGTTCCTGGCGTCCTACATCCCATTTCTCACTCCTTCTGCCATCTATACAAGAAGGAGATCCTGCCGAAGGAAAGAACTTTCGGTGTTGCTCCGAGCCACGTGTCCAAGGGCCCTCGAAGCCAGAGGACACGGTGTTCTTGCCACGGCCCGCCTGGCGTGGCTGCCATGCAAAAACTCCGACAGCGACGCTGTGGCGATATGTCTTTGCTGTCGGGGTTTTGCACCGAGTCGTGCACGCGAGCAACTCTGCACATGATAATGGTTCGACGGCACTGTCAAAAACACTTCTTAGACGGTGATTGCGAACTTCGACACCCCAAACTCGAAAGGGACCTCCGCGCCGGTGCCGCAGGTACCATCCGTCGGCCCACGGAGGCTGCCTGGTGTGGCCTGCAGCGTACATGGGGTCTGGAAGACAATGAGATCCTCTCTCCCTCCGCAGGACGATGACTCTCATGGTGCTACTCACCGCTACTCGTTTCAAGTTGACCTAGTACCTACCTGCCTGTCTGTCTGTCTGTCTGTCTGTCTGTCTATGTAACCTATTTTGGCTATCCATCAATCCATCCATCAGCCCATCAATCAGTCAATCGATCAATCGATCAATCAATCCATGCATCAATCAATCAAGCAATCAATCGGTCAGACAGCCAATCAACAGTTATCCATTTGTGT